TTCGTCCAATGGAAAAAGGAGCGAAACAAGATACTGTTGCAAATTATGCCGAACAGCATTGCACAAAGGAGTATGCTTTACCAGATACCACACTCTAAAGCATTATTCAAGTTTGTAAAATAAATAATATTATAGTTCAACTTATAAAATAAATAAATGTATTAACTATATATATGTAGTAATATTTAAGAATAATTTATGTGAATATAATACCAAATGCAAATTAGAAATGTGTGTATCCGCTTTCTATTGCTTGCCAAGCATGCTTCTGAAGCGTTCGAAAATGTGCGGGCGTTGACGGCGTGTTGAACGTGCAGAGCGCCGTACGCAATGTGTTAATAAACTAAAGACTTTACATAAATAAACTGTGAGAGTGCTTTATTTCACCCGAACCTCAAAACTAAAAACTCACAAGACACATTATAGCTTACAGTGACATGTGCACCGGGCAAAATAGAAACATTAAGGGGACGTTCTACTCTGCAATTTTTAAAAAATTAAATTTTTTTTTTTTACATTTTTCGAATGTATATATACGTAGAAATATTGTGTTAAGATTTCAAAAAGATCTGATGTCTCTAACTACATTTTTTTGCTGCCTGAACGTTACTATCTCGGACCGCTCTCCTGAGCGTTTGGCGCGCACGGTTCTTATATCGGCTACGGAGACTCCAAGACTTTTAAAATGCTGTTTTATTATCATCCATACGGTGAAGATTTCATTGTTAAAAAGTTGAAGTGTATTTTGCATGTGACAAAACATATTTTTAAGCGCGCTAATAAGGCAAGAAAAGCTCTCATACAAAAGAAGAAAATTTAAAAGAAAAACGCCGAACCGCAAAAAAAAAAATAATAACTGTAGCAAAAACAGTAGTGAAGAGAAAAACGACTGTTGTGAAAAAAGTTCCTTAAGTAAAAACTAAAAATTTACAATCAAATTGATGAAAGAACTCTCAGAGATCTACGGTTTATCAGTCAGAAGAAATTTGAATTCTTCATAGGATATGCGTAACGAGATTTGGGCAGRATACTACCACAAAATTTCGACTGATGCCAAGCTGAAGCATTCTAAGTGTTCCATTGACTGGTGAAAGTACCTCAAATCTAAGGCACATGGCACCTAAACACATGTTTAACGGCAAAAAATTGTTGAAATTGCGTGCAAAGTTTCGGCATGTATCTTCAACGAAGGATTCCGAACAGTGATGAAGAT